AACTATCTGAAACAAACCCTTTCTCAGGGATTAAACCAAACCCAAAATGTCAACATGATGAGCCGTGACCCAGCACCACAGGAGATGTTCCACTCCCGCTGCTGCAGAGCCCCACGTCCAACCCTCCGAGGCATCCCCCAAGTTTGGGTGGGAATGTGTCCTGGGGTGTAGCAAAGCTTCAGCTCCCGTTTCTCATCTTGGAGAAATACAGTGCGACCCATAAGGAGGGCACTGATGGAAGGAAGGCTGCTCACAGAAGAGGAGCTGGGCCCAGCTGAGGAGGATGTGACTGGCTCCACAGCTGCTCCTGCAGTGAGGACACTGTCACCCTGGGGTGGGAGAAGGGGATGGTAACAGCCCAGCCAGTGCTGCCCCAGCTGCTGTTCTCCATGGCCAGCCAGAGGTTGGGTATTCCCTGGGGCTCCAGAGGGAATGCTGAGGCCAGTTCCCCCCCGTGACTCTTCGGGGTCCCCGGGGAGAACTGTGCTTGGACTCTCTCTCCAAACCAAGCTGTGTTTGTTCAATCCTGGGGCTGGCCCCGATCACCCACATGATCCAGCTGCACCATGCAGGAGCCGCTCGGATCCACGGCTTGGCAGGGCCGGTTCAAACCTGGGATACAGGAGCTGCTGAGGTGAGGCTGGGAACATGGTGTGGGGAGTGAAGGTGTGGTGTGGGGTGCAGGATCATGGTCTGGGGTGCAGGAGTGCAGCGTGGGACGTTTGAGGCTGACGGAGCTGCTGGCTTTGGGCCTGGGGGAGGCTTCAGGCTCTGGACTCAGGGAGGCTCTGTAGCTGGGGGAGGGGGGTCAGGCTCCCTGTCACAATGTGGGTCAGGCTTGGACTGCTCCCATCCCCTCCCATCACCCCCCTCCTCTGCCTACATGGCGGGTCACAAGGAAACTCCTAATGCTTGATGGATTAATTAATTATAACTAATTTATCTGCCGCACTCGGTTGATGACCAGAGGGCTTGCAGGCAGCTCCCTGCGGTCCCTCGCCAAGGCACAGCACACAAAGCCCCCCAGTCCCCACGCAGCTCCCACGGAGCACTGGGGGGTCCCACACTGGGAAATCCTGGGGTGCTCCAGGGAGGGAGGCGAA